GATTTCCCAATGTGGGTTTGCCAGGTTAACCTCTATTATTGAGAAACCCATAATGGGAAATGTTTTAATCCCTTGAATGATAACTGAACTGAAGTTTGCCATTATCTAAGATGGAAAAAAGTCTAACTCATATGCCAAACACATCATGGATTTTCATTGATGTCCATTCATGTTTATTCTAGGTTTTCCATGAATGGTAAGGATTCTGTTTTACCATTAATGGATTTGTTAATGAGATTTGTTAAATTACCATTAACTTTTCCAATCATGTGTTTTTGGAAAATTTTTCCTATGGATAATGTTAATTCTAAAACCACTTTACATCAAGCATGCTAACAAACATGCAAGCTACAAAGTACTTTATTGAACATCCTTTGTTCTGTGTTGTGGTAAAAAATTGACAAACATAAGCTCCTGCTATGATGTGAATAGTTCTCATGTCGTTCTGCAATGCAGACTGAAATTACCAAACAATGCTCTCACTAGTATGTAAAAAGTTCTGAAAATATTTTTGTCTATGTTCTAATTGCTACTCTGTACTCAGATCATATTTACCTATTTAGAAAATATGAATTATATGTGGAATGAACGGACTATTTTGGGGAAAGATCTGACTGTTGTGTGGATCTATCTGACTTGGAATGATCTGACCATGAAAAAAAATGACCGCAAACCCAACAGATCAACCATATGTTCTATCACCATTAAGTTGAAGCCTTAACTGAGCCTTTCACAACTTGTCAACTACAATAAACAACAATGGATTGAAAGTACAGTTTTCCCACCCAAAAACTGGAGCATCTAGAAGTAGGCCATCAGAATGAACAACAACAATGAGCGGTGGCACAATGCTCTGAATGGCTGTGCAAGTGGGCAGTGCAGATTATTGCTATACTGCTTAATCCAGCTCCTAGATAGAGAGGTGAGACTTTCAACCATCCCCACAAGGATGGAAACAGATGTTTCCTCAAACAGGAATCTGAAACAAGTCCAGCAGAAGCAGTGTGAAAACCTACAAGCAATGCCATTTGACAGCTTGGTGAAGCACAAGACGACAAAGAAGATACCACACAGCTGCTTAGAACCCGTTCTCATCTCAAAGGCCCAACACATGGGAACTGAAGAACTCGACAAAAACCACCAAAAAAAACGGCTCCTTTAGATGTCACCAACTTTGCAAAAGAAAATGAGCAACAATAATGTAACCTGATAAAATTTGAGGAGGGATTGAAGAGAATTTAAAGGTTCAATAAAGGTTCAATGACATCCGGAAAGAAGTAACAGCAACTGTCTGAATCATTTAGGTAAATTCCTAGTTATATATTTGACAATTATTTTCAGCTAAAAGCTTTATTTCGGACGCTGGCGAACTTACATATGGGCGTTGGCAAAACAACCGGCATTCGTTCAAAATGGCGGATTTTCCCGCAAAAAGTTATGTTGTTGCAACAACAGTATGCAATGGCCGACATTTTCAAAATAAAGGCTGTAGGTAATTCTTTACAGTAGCAAACCGGTTTTTTAGCGATGAAATAGTACGATTTTTTGACATCATTGTCACTGTGTGGTACGTTGCATCCATACTTAAGTGTGATTTATCTCAGATTAAGTTCTGTGATCATGAAAACCTCCATATCAACCTAAAAACCGATAAAATATCCTAACTGCGCAGAGAACCAAACAACGGACAATCAACACCTTTTGTTCTTCTTTCTCAAAGACTGATCTCGCGAACATGTACGTCGGCGACAGATAATCTAATAATTGAGACTGTTTCGGCCAATTCAGAGGGTGGCGATCATGCAACTGTCAATTTCAGATAAACCTTATACGCCGAAATCACAAAGATCATCAAAGCATCTTAAAGGAAAGAAAGCTTCGTCTGAATTATGCAGTAGAATAACAATGGCTTTGAAACTTTAACACCACTAACGTAATGAAATAGTTTGCAAACCTTAGAGAGCATTGATCCTGAAATTCGATGATGTACTTCTGATGTGGTCAGGTTCCAACTGCGAGCATTCGATGGAATCTCTTCCATAACTTCACGGACCTAAACCTAAATTTAAGATATAAAAGTTGAGAAAAAGTTAGAAATAACCATTAGAAATATATTTCAAATAGTTACAAAGTAGATTTCAAAAGCTGCCGAGGATCATGTCCACGCAATAATATTCTTTCACACGTACGTGTTGCCGCCGCATGATCGTGCAAGAATAGCTATGAAGTAAGTAACGAAATTTCTTTTACAAAATCTAACTTACCGTAACATCTTAAAGTTAAAACCCACTGGAATATTGTGAAATCATTCCCGCGACATGGATGACATGCACTAACATCGGCGACCTTGCGATCTCTCTCATCATATGTCACACTAACACGATCACGTGACTCCCTCCGGTTTAGGACGCGACACCACTGTATTCGGTCAGCGATGTTTTGTTCCCATTTCCTCTCATGAAAAAATATTGTTACATTTTTTGTTTTGTGTCATTTCTCATTAGTTCGGCTCCTTGCCTTTATGTTGTTTCCGGAGTAGTCGGGTGTTCCTGCAAGAACTTGCTCAAGTTTTAAAACTTCTGTGATAAATAATCGAGCGTTTGCAATCTTTCTTAGTAAGGTATCGCTTAATAGAGTAACCGGTATGCCCGAAATTTTCCCTGTCTTTCGTTCGAACTCTGGCGTAAACTCCCAAAGAATTTTGTTCAGGACCTCTGGTCCGTGCGTTTCAATACTTTTGTCAGAGCTGTTTATGGAAGCCCAAGACTTTCAGGCTTTTAGCCAGTTGTTTGTGCTTTGTTCAGTGTTTTGTCCTTTAAACTCTAAGTTAATACGTTATTACTTCCTCCCAACCTGTCGGCCATTTTGTTTTGTTGTGCTTTCACGACTTACCTGTCGGTCAATTTAATTCAATTGTCTGCACTCAATTCTAACTTTCTGCACTCAATTCAAACTTTCTGCAGTGTATGGAATAGCCAATGAGCATGCTGAAATTTTTGCATGCATCTTATTTAAACACAAGATAAGTTCAACTGCGTTCGATCGAGTTTACAAGTTTGATTCATAAGCGATTGGAACGTTTAAATGGCTGCACCGAGAACAACAAGACATTGCTAATTGCGTCCCAAATTTTTTGTAAAAATGCGAGGTTGTGTCAGTGGTAAATTGAACGCACAAATACTGAGTACTCTAACTTAAGACATCTGATCTAATTAACAACAAGCCGAACGTATCATGGAGCAGAGTAATTGTTTCCAACGATCTACTCAGTCATCATGCAGCTAAACAGCAATCTCAGGATTTAAGTCCTATCATGGATTATAGTGAACCGGGAAGGAGGAGCCCAGATCACGTGATATGATTGTGAAAAGTGTCACCTCGTTTCTACGAAGGGAACGAAAGTTATATTCAGCTACCTCTCTCTGACGCGTAAGGGTTTCACTAAAGTTTGGGCAAATTTCAGAAGTACAGTTCTTCTATACCGAGCTTGAAGCTCTTGTCGTTACGCAGCTTGCAGTGAGAAACTGGAATTGTGAACAGGTCCAAAACCTATGTAAACTTGTGGCAGGAACTTATTCGTCCCAGTCTCTTCTTGTTTTATTTGCATTGCTTGGCTCATTCTCCAAGCTTGTGCTTTTTCTACGGCTGTTAGCACCCATGCGTACAAATTCCTCCGTTTTGGTGAGTACTTCAGAAATCGCTCTTGAAATCCGTCACTCGCTTCTTTACCTCAAGATCAATGACCTCTGTCAGCGAGGGAAGATACCAAGAAAGATGGCAATCAGCACAACAGGTGCGTTTTAGAGTCCATTTGGCGTAGACCTGTGCCCTGTGAATTAGTTCTCTTCCTTTTCTTTTTTTTCTTAATTATTTTACTTTTAAAGCAAATCTTAGTAAAGAGCATCATGATAGAGATCTTTGTGAACGGTAGATTTCAGCTTTCAAGAAACAGCAGACCGCTCAAATATTGAACCACTAGGTTTGTTTTGCACTGTTCGGCCGAGCACCAATCCACTTAAAATACGAAATCATTATATTCGCAGCCGTAGATCTTGCAGTACATTCAAATCAAATAAACCGAGATCCGAGCAACCACTTACAATCATTGTGGTAGTTTAAACGGTGGCCAGAAAAAGCTCGTAGAAAAAACCCGAAGGCAAAAAAGAAAAAGACAGGAAATGGTGGGTAGGAACCAGGCCTAAGTTTATACAGCCACTCTACTGGGTAATTTGCATAGGAAATCGTGTGAACGTATATTTCGTGATTTATGGGCACGAGTGATGTTAAGAAAGTTTTCAAAACTGCTCGAACCGAAATCTGTGTATCTTCGATTTTATTTACGTTGTTCGACGATGTTTTGGTTTGACAAAAGAAAACGACTGTCGGCTATTTTTTTTTAAATTTGGTGTTCAAATTCGGCGCTTCCCCTCTGTTTCCATAGCAACTTCCGTCTTGCTCTCTATAACCTGTATTGCACTCTATAATCTATTTATGCATTCGTCGTTTTCTCACCTGCTTAGCGCATGGCCCATAAATCGCATTAAAGATCTCGAACTCGGTCAGTAAGATGTACTCGTGGTTAATGTGTGAACATACTCAAAGGGAAAAGTGTTAAAATTCTATCATTGACTGAATACTTCAAAAAAAGGTATATAAGGTTGTTCAGAGTGTAAATAGCCAATGTGTAACCTGGTAACAGTGGAACTGAAAGTGTATCTGTAGGAAGGCTTGATACTACCGAAATAGCTATCGTTATGTAATGCGACTCGGGCGCGTGATATGTTAGACTATGTTCGACAGCCGACCTAGCATGAAAAAACCTTAACATAACAATGGTTAAATGTGTCCTTCGCCGGCTCTCTCTGATGTAGTCAAAGTAAAAGAAAGCAACTTGCTCCCTATCTTTGGAAGTTTCAAATGCAACAAGTACTAAAAACAACTCAGTAAAAGAAAATCGTCTATAATTATTCAGTAATAAGAGGCAAGGCTCATCCCTCGACCCATGCTTCTTATCGACACGAACCAGGCACGAACATTAGGTGGAGACTGAGTACCAATAACAATAGATGGCCGCCATATTGGTAGTGTGAGCGGAAGTTCTCTTCATTCTGCGGTGTTTATTGTGACGCACTTGACTTGAGAGATCTCATACATACTGCCTCTTGATCCATGTGAAGCCTAAGAGTTGCGTGCCACGATCTTAGACGGAAGTTTTCATGGTGGGCCGACATCGAGAACAGGCGGTGATGCTGGTAAGTCAAAGTTTTTGTTTGATCAGTAATCAAATGATACAGCTGGTAGCGTGAGATGATAGCTTACCTTTGTCAAGCAATCTGCCGAAGGTTCTTAGTTGTAGTCATACGTACTGTTCCCTTTGTATCTGGAAACTTTACGAATGCGTTTTTGAAACTCAAGTCGGGTTCAAATGTCATATAATGTAATGTAACACAATCATTTGCACCATTCTGAATGCTTTGATTCAAGTCAATGTATTTGACATCACTCGAGATCACTGCTCAATCGTTTGGCTTTACTTTTATATACTCTTTTCTCAAAGTTCGAAAGGTAGCTTTTCATAAAAGATATATAAGGTTTACTACTCATGCCGTACGGCATATTTTACTCGTTAAGAATTTGTTTAATAATCGATATTGTATTATGAAGTTCCAGACTGCATGTATGTGACTCTTACTTTATATATGGATGACCATTATATAGATTTGAATATCGTTAAAGAGAATTCGGTCACGTACGGATGAAAAAGATATTGTAATCTTTTCAGAGTGTTAACACAGAGCGAGATTTATATGATCGAAATTTCCTTTGTGTTTTGATTTGTATAGCTCCACATGGCCGATTTAAAGACGTTTAACCTAACTGATTTGAGTTTCTTTTTCTTTAATTGTGTGCATCTGACAATGAAATCGTTAATTTCTGTGATTTGATTTCCAATGAAAATGAAAATCTTTAATTTCATCAACCTCTTTCAAGAAAAATTCATCTGTTGATTTTTACAAGCATTTAGAGGAAACATTCACTTTCTATGAAAAATGCATAACAAGAAGTAATTCTGCATATAGAATAAGAGAGATGTCAAGTTTTGAGCTCAGTAAAGAAATAGAGAAAGATGTTTTTCATCTTGTCACAAGCATGGGACAAAGAAAAAAATTCTGTGTCCCCATAAGGAATTGAACCTCAGACCTTCAGATTCCATGCTCCAATGCTCTACCACAGAGCCATAGAGACTACAGTGAGTGAGGTCTATTACGAAGTTCATATGACACACGTCCTGCATACTGCTAGGGTCAGCAATGTCAGTAACATCATGTTTGTAAATAGACTAAGAGAGAAGAGTGGTGTTAAGTTTTTAAGTGCTGAGGTTTGATTCCTCATGGGGACTCAAAATTTTTTCTTTGTCCCACATTCATGACAAGATGAAAAACATCTTTCCCAAAGAAGTAGTTCCATTTTTTTAACTCAATGAATTGACTCTAACCGAGAATGGTTGTAAACACAAAATAGCACACAAAATAAATAGAACTGTGTAATCCAACCCTATGGAATGATCAAATTTTAAACTCTTGATCAGTGTGAAGTCAATCTTTTTTTAAGAGATAGATGCTTTCCCATTTTTCACTCAATTTTTGCAGAATTCTTTTTCAACCCTCAAAATTAGTGAGCATGCCCATATAAATTTTGTACACTAGATGGCAAAAATAATTTTGTTGTGGCTCAGCAGAGTGGCCAATAAGTCATAGCTGTAACCCTGGTACTAACCTCATCTGTTGTTGTGGAGACACTGGGCCCCATCACCATTAACCTTTTTGCTCCCAAGATCTCATTATTAACTCTCCTCACTATGTGCTATATGATTCTATATTGTTAGTTTGGAGAATTTGGTATTGGATCTAGTAATAATACCCTGATTTATATTTTTCCTTTTTCTCATTACTTGTCTGTTTTATATTGTAGTGATATTGTAAGGAGAAATTCTGTTTTGGTCACTCATTGGAGTTAAAATGTTGATTACAAACAACTCAGGCCATTTAAATTGAGCCAGTTAATTCTGCATACTAAGCAGAGAATATTCCCATCTCTAATACCTAATAAACACTATAGGTTTTTGCACTGAACTATAAATAAAGAGCTTGTGAGGCTAAAATGTATGATCACTGAGTGTTTTGGAAAATTTAATTTAACCCTTTAGCTTCTAATTTCTCCTCGCAATATCATCCCAGAATCAAACAGTTACCATATTTCTTCACCTATAAGTTGAGACCCTAAAAGTTAGAGACCTTCCAACAGACTTGTGTTGTCCAAAAAATAAAGCAAAACCATTGGCTATAAGCTGAGAGTGAAATTCTTGATTGTAACTGGCCATTTGAGTTAGCAAACCTCATGGGAAACATTGGAAATGGCTCACTGAACACAAAAGCTAATGAATTACAATAAACACAAATGAAAAAAATCGAGTCAGTGAAGATGTAAATACTACTATGCGACTGCAGAAACACAACAATACTCTCAGTTACAGTAACCTGACAAGCGTTTCAATCGATTTCAATTTCAATTTTTTTCATCACTGTTATTAATTCTCCCATCATGCCAAAAGCACACTGCTCTTTATATACTATGGCTTTCAAGATAAATGTTATCACAGAAGCTGAAGCTGTAGAAAACCATTCAGAGATCACTCGAAATTATGGACCTAGCGAGTCCATGGTGCGTTGCTGGAGAAGAGACCAGGCAACTATTCTTTCTGGCAAGCTTAAAATGTCTGCAAAACATGCAAAAATGGGCCATTTCACTCCCAAGTATCCTGAACTAGATGAGCAAGTGATGGAGTGGTTTTTACGGCAGAAAGACCAAATATTTCATTCGTAATGTGAAATGAGTAGGGTTTCGTCAAGTTGAGTGAGATGGTCTTTTAATGCATGGGGAGCAAAGAATCTGATTGGTGGTCAGAAATAGGTTGTTGTCATGATGATTTTAAAACATGCCACGTAAAGAGCGCTGCAGTCACAGAATTCATGGTAATTTTGCATTAACATTAAATTTGCAATTGTACTTGTTTTTGAATCCCAAACCTGCGGCTATAAGCCGAATCCCGTTTCTTGTGAAATAATCTCATACTTTTGTTTCAAATACTGAAAAAATGGCTTGGCTCAAGAAATACAGTTAGGTCACAAGAATAAAGGAAATGATCACCAACTAAAGAAGCTCTTGATGGTTAAACAAATTCTCCTTGTCAGCACCTACGGAAATATATGGAGAACAGTATGGAGAATATGCATACTGATGTTAAGGGGTAAAGGATCAAAATGGAATGACATTGCCTCATAGCGATTCTGGTTGTATGCTTTGTCACTTTTATTAGCTATGATTCTATGATGCTGCAAGCAATCTAAGACTCCTTGTATTCAATCTGCTGGATACTTCACATAAAAAATAAAACATCTTTGAGATGAAAAATGTGTTCTGGTGAACTTGAAAGTTGGCACTATTAGTCATCCCTTTGCTGAATTCTTAATTTCTCTGGATTAGGATGTTTTTTATTTGAAAAATTTCTAGCTTTGCTGATGTTGTCTAACATTTGTTCTATTTAACAAGGAAGAACTATTGAAGCCTTTTGGTTTAGAGTTATTCCTAAGTAAGTCTTATAGGGGGAGCAAGTGGTTCTCCTAGCCTTGGGGGCTTTTGTCTTGCTTCTGGTGCTTGTTGACAACAGTTGCTGCATAAATTATCCTGCTAGATGGGCCCTTTGTGTAGAGTAATTAGTGTAGCAAAAATCTTTGACCTGATCTGACATAGACTTGATTCATGACTAGATGACATTGTGCAAATTCTTAATTCTGCATAGTAGAAATTTTATTACAAGTACCTTGTCTAGTTCTTATGTAAATTATTTTTATGAAAACATGTATGAGTGGATAACATGTCTAGCAACCCAAGGATTTGGCTGATCAACCTTTTTTTTTTAATTGCACATTGTCCATTGGCAGGCTGTTATTTCAAGCCTTGTATTTTATGAAAGTCCTGCTTTCCATAACCATTTTTTTTTTCCTCTTTTGTTTAATTGTGATGTGGCATTTATGCAGAGTTCAATATTGTTACTTAAGCAACAAATGTTGAGCTTGAATGAGGAGAAGAAAATGTGTCAGCTCAAGAAGCTTCTGGTTTGACTGGTTTTAGCTTTAGGGCTCCTGAAAATATGCTTCGATTATGAAATATTCATGACCATGGAATTAATTCAGAAACAAAACCTTGTACGTGTGCATTTCTAAACACATGGAATTATTTCATAGTTTTCTTTGAGGTGCCCTCCACTGAGAGTCCTGTGCCTGAGTTTGCATTGAAAATGAGATTATATAACTCACTGTTTGGAAGAAATACCTCTCATGTCAAGAAATAACAAAATGAGGTTGTAGAATCTTTTTGTGCTATCATAGAATGCTTCCAGAAGTGACAACTGTCGTTTATATTATTTTTCATCCATGTAAATCAGCCTTTGTGGCCCCTAGACAACATGTTTTAAAATAAGCTAATTTTTCTAGAAAGAGTAACAGGAGAGAGGGCTAATTTACATATTACACACCAAAAAGATAGAAATTACGGTTGGTAATATAGGAAGTGGTCGATTGCTGATTGAAATACACGTAAGTGGAAAACCTCTCTACTGTTAATTTTCAATTTTTATTTTCAGATGATACATTTTCACTGGACAATGAGCAATACTTAGTAGTTCACACGTCATCTAAATCACCTCATGTAGTTACTAGCCTAAAAATTGCTAATATTGCCAATATGGAAGAGGTCTATTTGCTGTATGAAATACATGTAAATGGAAAGCATCTCTACTATGACTTTTCAATTTTTGTTTAGCTGCTACATTTTCACTGGTCAATGAGTAATACTTGGTGGTTCACATGTCATCTAAATCAACTAGTTTTTTAATTTCAGTCAACTTCCTCTCTGCCCCATAATTGCACAGTATAATATGCAGAACTTCACTAAGATGCATCAAACCTTAAAGTTCTTTGTTTTACACAACAATGTAATACAAAGGAAACATGTAGCACTGGATAACAAAGACACATGAGTATTGCAATTTTTTTCAACTGTGTGCGCAAAAAAATCATATATACGCTACCTACTTGCATTTCAGCATATGAAATTTGTCTGCGCAGTTAACTTATGTGTGAGGGGCACTGTAGATTCTATGGTCTCTACAATAAATTTCTAGAGTAAGGGTAAAGTATGTAAACTTAGACTTTGTGACTAACTACAATTTTAAAAAATGGTTAAATGGGCATACAATGGACAAAGAGATTTGCATGCAAAGATAGTGGAATTATAGACCGAAGTATTCTTCTGTAAAAATTTTATCAAGTGATGTGCACAAGCCTAGAATAAAGAAGTCATTTGTATTATGTTTGCAAAAATCAATCCCAGCTTAAAACGTGGCACACAATAGTTCAATATTGTTTAAAAAAATGTCACATTGAATGTTTATTTTGAGGGAGATGGTTTTTTTTTTTTGACATATTTCTAAGGAATTGATGATCTTAATGTATGATTTTTGTCATTTTCCCAGAATTGTCATTTCCAGAATAGTTGCTTGTTTTGAGCAATTTTGGGGGAGATCCTTAACAATTAGGGTGGTGGACTCTGGGTGGAAAGGTCCATATTCAAGACATGGCTTAGTGATTGTTTTGTGCTGTCGGGCAAGAAGATTTACTCTTATTCTGTCTCTCTCCACCCAGGAGTATTTTTGAGTATTAGCAAACTGTCAAGGGAACCTGATAAAGTAGTGGTGGGGTGGGGTGGGGTGAGGGTTGACCTACAATGGACAAGCTTACTATCTCGGGGGAAGGGAGGATTGCAATACCCCTGGGCTTTTGTTGCAGTAGAAACTGGGATAAGGTCAGGCCAGATGTGCCACTTTGCTTAGTTGCTGGCTTCACCTTAAATAATTTGATCATTTTCTTTTTAATTTTACAAAAAATGGAAACTCAATAGTAGTTTTCCACAGATGAAATTAGTTTTGATATATGAAGTAGCCAGGGTCACTACTAATGTGACTAGTAATTCTAGAGAATATTAGTTGATTCAGTAAATACAGGAAGTGTGTAAAGCCATCTGTTCAAAGTATTCATTACTGTCACTTTGTTGGGCATTGTGGCGCAGTTTGCTTACTAAAGTAAGAATTTTGGCAGCTGCATGTGCACTTGCTTGATTGTTCAAACTGCTTTGTTGTCATTTGCCAAAATGTAGCAGAATTTAACAAAAATGTGTTTTATTTGACTTATATTGTATTCAAAGAAAAATATAATTTCACCTGATAAAGCTATTTCTAGTAAATGAAAGATATTTTTATTTGATTAAAAAAATAATTTCACAAATGAAAATAAGTTCTTATTCAGTAAAATATTCTCATTTGATAAAAAAATATTTTCTTTCGATTAAAAAATATCCTCCTTCGATAAAAATGTATATTCATTTGATTAAAAAATATCTTCCTTCCATAAAAATATATATTCATTCGACGAAAACATTTTCGATGGCTAAAATCACGTGGTAGGCTAAGGCCTGGTTGCTTAGTTTAAACATGACGACGGAAGGGGAGACCGATGAGTCGATTGGTTGATGTTGCGTTCGTTTTTCTCAACTGTTGCTCGTCAGCTTAGCATGTGCAAGTGCAATGGCTCGAATGTTAGGTTGGATTTTCCAGCAGCAGCATTGTTGTTTAATCATTTGGATGTGACTCTATAGGTTTTAAAAGTACTTTAGATGGCGTCTTAAACACGACTAGTGCTGAAGAATTCTAAGGACTTTGTTCATGCTTCTCTGAAATATACTTGTTTCGGTGGTAGAAATAGGGAGAAAAACCACTGCTATAGCTGATATGGACCCAGGTTCAGTCGCTCTCAATGGCCTTGCAGGAAGGCCTCTTCTCCTTCTTCCTTTCTTTCTCTACCTCTATCTATGTCCACAATACTTATAGGAGATCTCTCAGGTGAGTGGAAGTAAGACCACGACACGATCCCCACTCTTGGGAGATGTGCGTGTGTTCTTTTACTTCGCTAGCTAACCAGTACAGAGAAGATGCCCAAGGTGCGGCCTTTATAGTCCTTATCCGAAAACACTAGAATGTCAAACCATCTGCGGATATCACAGTGAAGACTGCACATTCTCCTCAGTTATTTTAGAGACCCTGAGTGATGTTCGGTCTGGGGTTTGAACCTCCTGCACGGCAGTGCGGCGATCTGCAACATGAGCTAACCAAGCGCGATTCGTAATTCTGATCACGATTTGTAATTCGACAAGAACTTTTGGAAAACCTGAGAGGCCGATAGAGTCACATCCAAGTGATTAACCAAAAATACTGTCTTTTCTCTTTTGCATAAATACGTTTTGGACCCTTCTTAGAGTCATTTTGACCCTCACCCTGTGGCTCAACTCTGAGTTGGGCCCCAAACAAACTCCATTGTTTTTTCATTTGATAATAGTTTTTGTAACTAGGATTCAAAATTGCTATTTCGGAGAAATGTGATGTGGGTAGAAATTTAGAATGTTTCTGTGACAATACTTTTGTAGTTCCATCAATGAAGGCGTGGTAAATAAGGCAAAAATGACATTGATTACGAGAATTAAATCGTGAAATTAAAACTAAAAAATCAGGTATAAATGAAAAAATTCCCCAGAATTTTGAGCTTATCTTTTATTTAAAAGAGAGAGTGAGAGGGAAATTCTAATTTTGAGAAATGTTTACATGAGTGCATTATTTTCCTTAGTATGAAGTTGCGTGCTTAACTCTTAAAAATATTTCGCTGATTCCACAAAAGAGAAGGAAATGACATTTTTGGAATTCAGTTGTAATCTTTTTCGAAAATATGATTCAAGTTACTTTTTCAACAGAATTTTCTCTGTTCAGGCTACTCTCATTGCTTCTTGTGCACGGATCTGGAATCCTCTTTGATTCAAACTTGTGTGTTGTCACGAAGAATGCGCTGTTTTATTGTTAAGTATCTGTGATACTTTTAGTACTTTTTTCTTAAAGTAATCATTTGCATCCGTTATTTATATTCCTGCACAGTGTATGCTCATAAAAAAAAACTCTTGTTGGTATAAGAAACAGAAATTTCAGGACAGTTACATTAAGAGAGTAAGTTATTAAACCGGAGTTGGGACTCGTCCCATATTCCGTTATTCAAGTCCTAGGTATAGACTTGGGGCTGGATTCTCGCCATCGATAATTTAGCTTTCCTTTTGATTTTCTTCAATTTCCTTCGGTGAAATCTCTCAAAATTTTCACAATTTGTGAAAATTGTCCAGCCGATCATTTAAAAGCCGAAACAAATAGGGGTTTCAAAGGGAGTTTCCTAGCTATTTGCAATTTTGTCTTTTCTTCCTCTATCTCAAATATGGTCATATGAATTATTTTATCAACAGGCACTAGGAAGGGCACAGATATGTTTAACAGTCCAGCAAAGCTTAGGAAATTCTATTATAGGAAACGCGATTAATCTTACTCGAAAGATCCCTATTTTCTTTGCCGCAAAACAATATGTAATGGAATGGAACTTCGCCGAGATCGGAGTCTGAGCATACGTCGACTTTCGAATCTGTCGCCTTTTGGCAATCTTCTCCACGGTGTTTTCTTTCCGGTTGACCTCTTTTTTCAGGCTTAGAAGGCCTATGAATATTAAAAGTGCAATCATTGGAAACCCTAGATTCCATCACATAAAAACTGTACTGCGTCGAACCGTTTTTAACACACCTTTTCAAATAACAATCGCATGATCGTATCGAGCTGCCATGCTTGTTTTGCATGTTGACAGTTTTAAAGCTCGCACTGTGTTTGCACCTAGATCTCGCGCGATCAAAATACCCTATGGTGCTTAATCACGCGTTACGTATAAACCTTGTTGCAACCCTCTCCACAAAGCAGGAAGACTGAAATATAAATAATTGGCATCAAATGGGTCGTTGTAAACTTCAAAAGCTCTGACTAAAATTTAGCTGTAGTAAAATAATTTGAGTGGTAGAAAAACATCTGTAACAGGAAGACTCATTTTTGGGTTTGTGTTGCATAGTTTTATTTCGGCTTCTGCCTACCTATAATATCGCTCAGATAGCCTCGCTTTTATTTTATTTTTCGAAGAGTGGAACGAAATCTCTTGAAACCCGCGAAGGGAGTCCGCCCGACGACTTGCCGACCAATACGGAGCGGCAAAAATATCTGCGGGTGGACCTCTGTTCCTTTGGAAATGCCGGGTTTTTTGTCGCACTCTTCAAAGCCAAGGCGAGATACAGGTGACCCTGGTCAATTGCAAGCAAAGAAGCTTTCATTTGAACTATTAAAAAAGAAAAAACCGTGTCAAATTTTCCTTCTCAGTTTCAAAGGGCTTGGCGCGTTTTTCTTGAAAAACCTGTTTCCTTACCGAGCTTGGTAATTTAGGGGGACTGTCAAGAAACGGGCCCATGTTTCCATTTGTAGGATCCGATAGGTTTGCGCGCGACTGGTGGCAAAACTTTCGATGCCGTTTTTAAATACGAAAGCACCAGAGGTTTGAAACCTAGTGATAATTTTGAGTATATGGTCATTCGAATATTGAGTCTGTTATAACGAAAACATGTTTGTCAAAAAGTAAAGCTTTAATTATGAAAACATTTTCCGCGATGCTTTTAAAGGTTTAAGAACTCTGTTTTACAGCCGAAATTTACCTTTCTTCCATTCGGTTTCTTCTAGTTCCCGTGCAGCCGTTCTCAGGGTCTAATAAACCTCAAGTGTAAACTCCATCAATGTTGATAGACTTCCAGGGCTTAGGCTCAGGCTCGGGCTCAGGCTCGGGCTCACTTCTAGAAAAATAGCTCTATTTGTATCGAGCGGAAGATATTAGAGCAATATCTTCAGCTTCCTCGCCTCCTGGGCTCTGTCTGGGGTTTTCCCATGTGTATCGCGCACCAGCGGGTATCCTTTGCACGGCCCTGTCGTTGTTTTTATTATTATTTTTGTTTTTTGTGTTCGTCAGTTTTTGTTATTAGCCGCGACGCCTTTTTCACGTTGATTCTTTGCGCAAGTCTTTTATTTAAGCGTGCAGTCATCCGCTTAAGGTAATGCTCAAAGTCAAAACCGTCAGTCGTGTAGATTGCTGTCGTGGGATCAATAGCATTGTAACGAGAGTTATCGCAGAATACGCTGATTACACAGCACGGATATTTTGCAAAGCTATGTCGCTCTATTGTGTGAAAGAGAATTACAAGAGAATTGAAACCCTCCAGGTAACATACTTCAAGTTTTGGTTGTTGACAGTTTTGGACAAATTTTGCGAGAAGTGTTATTTTCCATCAAAGGTTGTCTCTGAAACATTCATCGTTCGCTGAACTCTTGTGCACTTAATTTTCAGAGCATGCATGTATTCCGAACGCATTCGAGCTTCTTCTAAAAAAAATATTTTGACATTATTTTAGTATTCTGTGGAGACGAAAACAATTTCGTGTTAAACTCCGCCTTTGTTTTGCGTATTTCTTGTCCTTCGACTCTTGTTCTTCCGTGCATGTTCACGAGTTTTATGCTAAGTATCGAAAGATTTCAGATCTCAGCCAAGGTAAGCAAAAAAGACTGCTTCAAATTCGTGTATAATTCCTCGGTAAAAAAAAAGAAAAATTTAGACTCGTGGCGTAGAATTCTATCCGGTGGCGTGCGCAACTAGTTGAACGACACCTCGTCGTGTTTCACTTGATTTTCGAATAGTGATATGCAGGACAGTGTAAGCAATCTGAAGGCTGTCTTTCGATTCAAAATTTTAGGAATAGAGCTTTTTGTCTTATTTGTTTAACTTTTGAATATCAAAGTAGGAACATCTTTAGAATCATAGTCATGCCCATTCAAACAGAAAAACGCCTGTAGTCCTAATTCAGATATATTTATTTTGTTGTGAAACTTGCAAGAGCGAGTCTTTCGCGATTATTTACAGATTTTGCCCTGATTTTGAGGTTTCGTTGTACACATGGGTTCTACAATTTCTTTGGCTTAAATCTGAAAATTGGAGTTTTCATGGTATTTTGGGCAGTCTCTGTTAATTTGTTCTTTCTTTTCTATATTTTTCACCTGCACGCTTCTTAACTCGCACGTGTGGAGCGTGAAATTGTCCTGAATAGAGTAAAATTAACATTATTTGTCTTGTCAAGTTTCATATTTGCTGACTGCATACAAGAGAACTAACATTTGCTACCGTGTTGTGTTTACATCACTCGATAAATTTTTGTATTTGGTTAAGTTCTGTTCGACTCTGTCCAAAAATTCTCGATATCTTTCGATAGATTACTTAATCTCAATTTGTCATTTATTAAATGGCAAGCTGGTTCAAATTGTGTCTCACCGATTCGTTTTAATGAAATCAAAACTTAGTCATCGCCACTCAAATGAGGTTGCTAAATCTTTTGGAAGTCTGGCTAGACATCTGCTCTCCAAGCCTGTGTTTTTATGCAACTCTTGCTGTGACCGGAATTTTTTTTCATTAATTTATCTCAAAGTTCACGTGGTAGCAGTTTTGCAATCGTCCGTCTTTTGAATGTAGGTTCTCTGTCTTCTCCTCAAATACACTTCAAAATGCGTTTCTTTTGCGTTCGCGTACATTAACTCTCAAAACAAGTGTTATTTTTGCCGTTTTGGAGAATGATTGGCTGCATTATGTAAGAGTTATGTTATTTTCAAAATTGTCTTTGAATATGTTAAGAATTTGTTGTTTTGCTTGTTCACGAGGCCTTGTTATTCGCTAAATGTAGGAAGCTGTTTCCTTAATCGCTCCTGTTTGAATAACAATGAAAAGGTTTCCAAGCGTTTTGCCTGTAAGCTTTAGTCGCTTATTGTTAAAATGTGTTATACTCTAACAGAGTATGCTCTATGTAGGCACCAATTTACTACTTTTAGCCACAATGTCTTTGGGACATTTTGTTTTTTGTTGTCAATTTTTATTTCAGATCCGAGCCAGTTTTCATTTTCCAGTGTTTTCGGCACATAGCGAGAAGTCAAACCTGTTCTTATCAATTATTCATCAAGAGAAAGCTTTCATTCGAAACAATTGATCAAAAAATAAAAACGAGCTTAAATACCGTTATTTCCGGTCGAGAAACAAATTAAGACTTAATTGACACCTGTAGACTTCTTAAATTCTGTTTTGGCTTCCTAAAGGAAAAAAAGGTCATTTTGTAATAGCACAGAAAATTACATTTCCAAACTGGTAACCAAGAGATTTTGAAAACTGAGAGTTATGGGAAAAATCAACGCAGGATATACAGAATCAAGAAGTTTGTCGAGACTATTTGTGACGTACTGTATAAGTCATTGGGTTAATACACTTGAACAGTGCTTATCCGTTTTGTCAAAATTTAGATGAATCTATGTAGACATAACGTTACAGTCACGAATCTGTAGTCGAGTGACGGTCTCGTCTCACGCTTTGCACGAGGGAAAGGTATTTCAGAAATTCATCGTTTTGTTCCGAACGACAGTTTGGAACAAAACTGAATGCAAATTTGTTAGATAAAAATTCATTCCTTTCCGTTGTTACAGAATGCCCGAAATAATTTCTTTTGCCGAACAAAAGTTTTAAGTAAACCTATTTAATTGTTGCTCTCCAGAGTAAGGGACTGATTAAGCTCGCTCATCCGGCCTGGAAACAATTCTTCCATTACTTTTGCAGTTCTTCTGCGTGGTACAGTGATAAGAGTTTCTTAAACGACTTTCAATGAAGCAAGTTTCAGAAAACGAAATTTATCTTGTTGACCTCTTTGCTCTTTCGAAACATCTTCAAGTTTTATTTTTGGTGATCTCTGCACGAAATCTGCATAAATTCCTCTCTTGTTTTAATTTTCATCGGTCGGAGCAAGTTAACAGGAAGTATGAGGTCGTTTTGCGTAAAAATTCATTCGTCACATTGGAAGGCTTTTCTTTTTTAACCGCGACAAGCTTTTAAGGATTGTCGTTAGAGTCTTAACCGCTTTGTTTCCATTACAAATATTGACAGCCCTTGAACAGGAAACGGTGTGCATTTTTTTTAGTAGTATGAATTTATATGCAGGTTTTTTTTAAAATCATCCGCTCGTTACAGACTTTCGGCGCCAGGTAACTTTGTTTCCAGGTACGACCACGTTTTGGTACTGAAAGGAAGAACGTTTCCTTTTTTTTCGGCTCTTCAATTGACGCCGAAAAAGGTGTTCTTGAACCGTGGCTTACTTTAACTGTTTTAACGCGTCTTTCCCTAATTCATGCGAATCACTCAGTGAATTTCGAAAGCAAATCACGGAATATTTAAGTAAATCCTAAATGACTCGCGTATAGTTTATTTACAGTAACCCTCAAGGGCTTAAATGCGAAGCTCTGAGGCACTGCCAGTGGCTTATCCGAGTTTGTTGCTCGAAGGCGAAAGCTAGGTCTTTGAGGCGAGCATCACTTTAGTAATATTTGTTCATTTCAAAACAACCTTCCTTGAGTAAGACGACACAAAGGGAAGCAACATTTTGTGTGTTAGATCGATTTCCCCGAGGACTAGTGCTCCTCCCACTTAGCCGAGCCAGCCAATCACGTTAGAGAGCGCCCTAATTATCATGTCATGTTATATTGGCCTATTTGAAACCTGTGAGAGTTCGAACAACTTTGGGTTATCTAGCGGGTGGTTTGGTCAGCCCTGAAGCCGAATTAAATACTGTGAACAGCTCTGTGAAGTGTTTCCGTGCTGACAGTGTGTTCCTCTCTCCAGATGACCACTGCTTGCGAGGAAAAATCTACGGCGAATTTTACTCGCGAAGTTGGAGACCAGTCTTCGGTGAGTTAGCGTTTGGGATGTTTGTTTTCGTATTTATTACTGTAACATGGTTGAATGCGAGTTTCTCGTGTGCCTGAGGATGACCTGTTGTGCGAGAAATTGTTTGTTTACCTTCCTGGACAAAATGTTAGGTCTTATTTACTTGTTGAACTAAAACATGTGCAATTTGATCGCGATTTTGAGAGTCTCTCTGTTAGCTTTAGGGCGCCTGAGGATGTCTATAAAACCTCCCTTCCTTGGATGAATTAAATTTGTTATTATTATTTTGATAATCGAATGCCGCGGGGGGAGTTCGAACACTAGTGTACATATCACGGTAAGGAGAACAAACTTGATCACAGCAATGACATTTCAGGATCGTGTCTCGTGTTTTTAGGCACATGGAGAGAAGTGTGCTGGGTGCAAAGGCAGAATTATGGACCGATATCTTGTGAAGGTCAGTGGGAAGGCATGGCATACGGGCTGTCTTAAATGCTGCATGTGTGGATTAGAGCTCGGCAAGGAGGCCACTTGCTATACCAAGGAAGACAAGATTTACTGCAAAACCGATTATGCAAGGTGCGTTTCATTTGCGTGCTCATTTCAAGTTTATTTTCTAACTTTTACTCAAAAGTGCGCCTCTGCGGTTTGTGGACAGAATTTATACGTTGCTAGCATCAGACAGTAACGAATATGTCGCGCGGATTGGAATTTCGGGCACAAAATTTAAGCTTAATTTTTCTGTTGTTATTGTCGTTGTTGTTTTTTTTTTATCTTAGCAAGGAAAATGAAAAGTGGCTGGTAAAAATAAATTTACTAGTTTCTCTTAATTGATATGGCCACAAATTTATCCAAAGGTGAATAGTAATTTGCGTCCGTCTTCTTTCTAGCGACATTTGCAGCTTCCTTTCAATTTTTTTTGTTACGTTGTTGTTTCCATTAAGAAGTGTACGGAAATTACTTTTCATCTCTTAATTTGAACGCTACGTTCCTGTGCCGGTTTAAGTATGAAATCTAGAAGTATTTCAGGCTGCCAAGTTTCCTGTATTCTACCAAAACGCCTAGGAACACTGGAAATGATCTAGACTGAACCAGTCTGAAAGATGATTTCCGATAAGAAAGCCTTAAGGAGGCATTTTATCAAACTCGTTCATTTAGTTTTGACGTTTGATTTACGGACGGCTTAGGCGAGGACTTGTTGGACCGTTAAACAATCAAATATAACAAAGGTCCCCTTTTGGTTTATAAGGCTGTACTAAGTAAAACCAAGGTCTCCGGTTGCGGGACATTGCATTAACCATACCACAGTTAAAGTCTTTTATGTAACCAGCAGATTATTTCTTAATCCTCTCTTGCACGGTATCTTTAACGAAACCATTTTTAAGTGGCTTGAATGAATGGTGCTGGGAATGGTTCCAACTACATCGAATTTAACTTCTCTAAATTTTTTTTTTGGTTTTTAGTTTGGACTAAGGTATTTCGTTGTTGTGTTAGAGAAGCTTTTAAAGTGTGCAGAAAGGGCGATTCATTCTTTAATGCGACGTTAGGACCGTCGGTTTATTGTCGACGAAGCGACCACCTCTAAAGACAAAGTGACCGCATAAATAATGCGTTTGATCCGTTTTAGCGACTTCGCCAAGTTCAGTGAAAACTGAGTTTCCGATTTTGCGCGTTTTTCTTCACCAACGTGCGCGTATTTCTCCACACGTTTGTGTTCCTGTTTAGCTTAACTCTCAGCTGATCTATTTTCCGTGGTTTAGCCGAATGAGAATTTCCTGGCCGAAAGGCAAAGGTGATTTAGAAACACCTGCCTCCTACGTGTAAATGTAAACATAGCGAACTATGTTTAAAATGCAAACTTGCAAATTATTTTTCACACCACACATCAGTGACCTTATTTGTGTTTCAAAGTGGTGAGACTCGCTTCTTACAGCTTTGAAACCTGGCTTGGAAGACGCTTTTGTCGGGCTGTTCGAGTGTAGATTTGTAATAAATAGTCCCATTTTCAATTGGATTGGAAATTGGTATTGAGTGTCCTACGTATAATTATGTCTACAAAAAATAAAAGATTTAAAAAATATTTTGAAATGCGATCACCTCAATTTTCAATTGGCTTACTTCATTTGGTTTCGTTCAAAACTGTTTAATCGGTGCGCGGTTTAGTTTGTGTCGGTGTAAAACAACGTTTCACTTATTCCGACTCGTGATCTGGTACTTAAGATTTCTGGGCAGGAATATCCAGAAAACAGTTATGAAAATGATAATCATAATGAAGTCAATCGAAACAAAACGCGTTCTTATAAAAAGAAAGGTAACGGTAATTTAAACGTAGCAGATGCGAAGCTTTTTGAAACTATAGGGTACGGTTTTCGTAACCCTTCAAAAATGTTCATTGCGCGGCTGGTTTAATTTTACTATTAATGTGACTTAGGATAATATTTGCCCTTTTAACATAAATGAAAAATTTAAATGAAGCTAATTCAAATAGTTCTTACTTCGATTTGGATCCCATAGCGATGAATGCAGAGTTAAGGAACGGTTTCGCAATAGCCTTTTTTTTACGCTTATGTTTAATAATTGTTATTTATCCTGTACTTATACACTACAAACTCTTGTTTGAAGTATCTTTGTGTATGTGGTTATTACCCGCCTCGTGTGTTTGTCTGTTCACTTATGTTGCCATGAAAGTCTGTCGTTAGAAGCCATGCCTAAGTGTGTTTTCAGTGGTTTGTCTAAAACTAAGCTGATTTTTTCGGTCATTGTCTGATTATCGCACTTTATCTATATGTCAATATTGCGACAACTTAGAGAACTACTTGCATGTTAGAACGTAACTGAATACAAACGATTTCTTTCACTCGGAAAAGCAGAACTTTTTCGCCACCCTTTCCAGCCCATTTTGCAATAAGTCGTGGTATTATCCGCGGGAATATTCGTTATCGCTTGTATCTTGTTGCTGGTAAACATGCACTAAAATCGTGCTCATTCTCTTGTCTTCATAACACTAGAAAAGTGAGGAAATTTGTTTCAAACAAAAGAAAGAGAGCTTCTCCCCTCCCCATCCAGCCCTCTCTTCACTAAATCGCGATTTTTTTTTGCGTATTCTTATTAATCCTGGCTATTATTTTACGATCTACAGGCAGTTTGGCACTAAATGTGCCCGATGCGGACGAAGTATCCACGCAAATGACTGGGTGAGACGCGCGCGGAGCAGCGTCTACCACCTCGCGTGTTTCGCGTGCGACGCTTGCAAGCGACAACTTTCTACAGGCGAAGAGTTCGCGTTAAAAGAAGGACATGTTCTTTGTAAATTACATTACATGGAGAGTTTGGAAGTTTTCCCTCCCGATAACTCCTCGCAAGATGGTAAGTCTTTGTAGTTTTAGTCTAACCGTATCCTGTTGACAATTTTGTTCGTGTGTGTTAAACCAACGCCCAACGCGCAAGCGAAATAAGAACTGTAAGCGAAGCAAAGAGCGCGAATGTAAGAGGAGCACTCACGCTTTACGCGTCCTCTCGCGCGCTTAGCTTACAAAATACAAAAACACACCAATAAAACGGCTTAGAATAGGCTAAGCGAAAAGTTCTTCTAGAAACGAGATTTCGTTATGAATTCATTTTTATTCAGTATCGATGTGTGTGAAACAGAGTTTGCCAAGGGAATATGGAGTTGTTATTCGTGTTTCGAAAAAAAGAAACATTTCAAGGTACGCAGAAGAGACGATAAAAGCCAGATTTTCCTCTTAAACAGATATAAACGGAAAGAAAGATAAGACGAACGTCAGATGAGAAATATTGGCCAAACAGCTGATAAACTGTTAAATATCTCTATTTGTCGATGTGTTCTGCTCTCTAAACTGCTTTTCAGCCTTTCCGTAATATAACTTTAAGAATTCGCCTTTAGAACAGAATTGCAAAGTTTCATTTGTGTTTTTGCTTAAATATGCAACTGTTAAAGGAGTCTCCTTTACAAGATTGCGCATAATTTTGTTTTGTCATAATACAGTGTAATCAATGATCTCCGACTTCGCCTGTCTGGGTTTGTTTTATTTCTCGGTGTCTGTAGACAAGTTGCGTTTCAATAGAGAATTTTCAGGCTTTCTTTACAATTCATTATTATAAGATTTTTCGTTTATGCGATGTTAGTAGCAGAAATTGATATTAATACGCACTGCATTAAGACCCGCCTGTAAATTAACCTGTTTCGGAAAGGAAAAGGAGGAAAACTCAAACGTGTGAAAAAGAAACCGCTATACGCATAACTTTTGTTTTAGTTTCCTCCTCTTTTGAGTTAAATCCCCTAAAACGTAAACAATTTTAAGCGGTTGTCTCAAAGAGAATGTTCCAGGAAACAACGGAAATTTATTGACACGTCTCGCTTTTCGAGTCAAAGGTAGGTTTGTTTTAACATTACAAAAGCGCGTTTTAGCGGAGCCGCAAAACAAAATGTGTTCAGAGGTGCGACATTGAATTCTTTTTTGTTGAGTTTCTCAGAAAGAGTAATTACCGTACATTTATAATTTATGGAGGTTACGGAGGTTTTTTTCTTTTTCCGCGGTCTCTTTTCAACGACGCACAAAGCGTCCAGAAAGCAGCTGCTCGATTGAGTATTTACAAATGACGCTTGAATGAGAAAAATTGTTTTGACGAGCAACTTATTTTCACGTCGCTCAGAATTACACACAGAACCATAATGCGACAGTCTGCTAGGATCTATATTCACCGTAGAAATTTGACTCTTTGAAGATCTTCAGCTTTGCTCGTGGCAACGGAAAAATCGGCCATTTGCGGATGTCAGGCTCTGTCAGTTTGCGTTGGATCGTTAAGCTGAAATGAGAATTTGAAATGTTGAGGCTGCAATTTAACGTGATGAATGTAACCAGTTTGAATTGAAAAGACTGTATTGATGACAGAGAAAGGCTTGTCCTGTGAAAAATATTGAGTTTTTCATATACGATTTTTATTAAAAAAATTGTTATTTGCAAATTCTTTTCAATTTTTTACTTATATATCTAGGACTGTTCTAACAAAGGAACGAGTTTCCTTACCTGTGAAAATATAGTAATTTGGAGACTTTTCATTCAGTAAGGAAGTTTAAATTTAACAAATTTTTTTTAGTGAGTTAGTTATCCAGTCATATAGGTGACAAATGACGTCAAAATGAAGTAATCACAAAAAAGTCGCCCATTGAACGTGAAGAGTGTGTCACTGACTGACGAAACACGCTTTTTTCTTCTTTTTTTCTTGTTTTTCGTTAACTCTTCGTTTGAACTCTCTTGAAGGCTATCTCTTGCTTAGTCCAAATAACTTCGCAAAAATAGAGGGAAAAATTGCTTTTAAGTCGGCTGTTCGGATTCAGTTTTGAGATCACAAGTAACGACCCACTCTCATAATGTAACCCAGTTCATTGTATGTAAGAGTGAAAAACTTTAGATTCTTGCATCAATTCGAGTACTAGACTTCAAGAGTTTTTGTCAAAATACGGAGAGAAATTATACCTCAAGAAGCTTGGTTATGCTCTCTCCGACCCAGAAGTTTACGCAATTATTGTTATCAGACGTTTTTGAAAAATTGGTAAATTGTCGTGTCTTAATTTGGCACTTCGCTGCTTTCGCAAAACGTCAGATGCTCATGCTGACAGCTATTGCGTTTTCCCGCCAAATTATCGGCGGTTGGCGCGCCCCCCGAATTCGTAGTCGTATATATCTTAGAATTTTAAGGTCACTTGAAAATTGTTGCCATGGTGCTAAGACCTGTATTTGTATCCCTCCTTAGTTGCTCTTTCTTACTGCACTCAAAGTGATGGAGGGATTGAAGACATGGTGCAAGGTGATTTGTGTAGTTTGAATTCTAAGCCGACTTTGGCTGATAGTAAATTGTCTTTTCTTGTCAGCGCGCAGACAAATTGTTAACGCAAAATTTACGGTGCTGTAAACCTTTGTTAGTACAAACTGTAGTCAATCCCTCCTAATCACGTGAATACGTTTCATCCGACCACGTAATGATAGATCCATACATAGTAATCCACAACGGATTCAGGTCCATCTGTCACTCCTGTGTTTCAATTTTTTTTTCCACGATCGAGAATTTGTGATTTATGAGAGAAAGAGTTTGTATCATGTTGAAAAAGAAGTCCCTCTACCTCTCCCCATGATAAAAAGACGAAAAACGTATTTGTATGGCAAACTGAGAAGGTAGCACTATTAGCATGTCAATCCTTACGCTTAGAGAGATTGACTGCAGTTTGTTCTCAAAGCATGGAAATTTGTATCACTAGAATTCCAGCTTGCAAGCAGGCTATCATTGCTATCGCTGCAGGACGAACGTTTTCCGCCCGCGGAAAGACTTGAAGACCTCTCGTTGGCTGGCGTTGCCCAAGGCAACTTACTTGCGGGCGAACGAACGCTTATACTTAAGGTTACTTCCCACCTTCAGAGGCCGAAAAAATAAATTTTTCTTTTATTTGATTACACTGAATTCAAATATTCAACCTAACGTTTCCATGAAAAAGTTTTATAAAAGCCCCCGAGGTATTTAGAAAAATGCATTTTCAATTAAAAGTCAATAAATCAGGAAGGAGTCATTACCACGGACCTGAGCGAAACCCCCTGGGGGAATTTTCGCGGCAACCGCTCACGTTGGGGCTCGATTTTCATGCTCTTTCCATATTTTGTTTACATCGCGTACTTTAAAAAATTCGCACGTGAAGCTCTCTGTTTACAAAAAAATCTTTGCTCATGGAAAAATCAAAAGCGGAAGAAAGTTATTTGTAAAAAAAAAAGGAAAAAGGGAAAAAAAAAACAGGCCTAAGGAAGAAAGGATAGGTACCATTCTGTCGAGAAATTAATAAAAAATTCCTTTGTGAAAGCGACTGGAACTGGCGGAAAGAACTCGCTGTCAAACTGAACTTTGCTACAAATAATGTTAAAAACTAGGTTCTCTTTTCTTTATGCAAGTACCAGCCTTGTTACAAAAACACTAACAATCGCCTCAAATCGTAATTTTGAAAGCTATGTCAATTCGCTGTCTTGTTCCTCAGCACATTTACCGGTTTTTCCATTTTTGCCGCGGGTTTTTCCTTTGCCTCTGGCAACTTTACTCATCATTGTGTCGTCCTCCTCAACGCTCCACTGAGCGAACGAGATAACAATAAAAAAAGGGTGTCTGCAATGGGTTATTTTTCTCGGGAAATCTTGATCCATCGTCATTGACGCCAGGAGGTCCCGTTTCCTACTGGTTTTTCGTTTTCAGGAGGCGAGATAATCTCCTGGTGTGAGTTTTTTGCGAACCTCCATGAGCTAAAATCTCGTATTAGATTTTGTGAGGAATACAACCACTTTGAGCGAATTCATAGGGTATGTAGATTTTACCGATTTTCGTTAAATTTCGCCAAAACATTCTAGGAATAATGACAAACGAAAGCGTGTCGGTTGTTTGCTGCTGGTTTCTCATTTGAAGGTGAAGAGTTTTAGACAAAAAACCACCACCATTCCTTAGTTTGGTGTTTTTCAAACCTAGGCGTTTGTGCCTTTGAACCTTGTTTGTTTCCTTCATTGATGATGACAATGTGGTTTTTTATATCTTTTATCAGACGCAGACAGCGAAGATTCACCTTCCAGCGGCGGAATTCTAAAATGTCATAAAACCAAACGAGTACGAACCACATTTACCGAGGAACAACTACAAATCCTTCAAGCGAACTTCAACATCGACTCTAATCCGGACGGGCAGGACCTGGAACGAATCGCACAGTTGACTGGGCTTAGTAAGAGAGTAACACAAGTTTGGTTTCAAAACTCGCGCGCGAGACAGAAAAAATACGGTACACCTTTGTTCTCTTCCAGCCCGAGAACATCAAGCGCGGCCAGCTTTTGATTCTGGTGAGGTGAGTTTCAACTAATTTAGAAAAGTCCTCTTTTTGGAATCTTAACGTGAGCGCACAAGCTATGTCGTATTTGCTTTGTTAATTTTTTCTGACCAATTCCCTTATTTCTGCGAAGAAATCTCATCAATGATACTTCTCAAGGTAATCTTGCTTGAGGAGAAGTTCCCTCTAAAACTTCCTGTGTACTTGTCAACACAAACAAATTTTGTCCTTCTGAAGTTTTCTTCAAAATACCTCATTGCTAAAAAAGTTGGCAATTCAGATATTGGACTCGTGGACTTCTCAAAGTATTTATCAACAGTAGCAAATTAGTCCTTCTGAAGTTTTCTTCGAATACCTCCTCGCTTAAAAAGTAGGTAGTTCAGATGTTGGACACATGGACTTCCCAAAGGAAAACTTGCCATTGGAGAAGATCCGTCTGCCGATTTATAGGGCGTTTTGCTTTCAAGCAAGGTTAACTTCTTTTACAAAGGCATACGTGAAGTAAATTAATCTCTTTAAGCCGGTTAGACTCCGGGATCTTACACTGAGTTCTGGGTAGAACTTGGGAAAAACGAAATAGCTCCGCAAATATTAACCAAGAGAGAGAGAGCGGTTTACTTTTGTGGCTAACTGACTCAGTTGCTTCTAGCTAGACCCACTTTACATGTCCTTCGTCTTTTCCTAGCTGACTTTTAGCTTGTTGGCTTAAAAGCTCTGAATTACGTATTTGTAACTTGACACACGGTGCTTTTTCGTAGATCCTCAAGGTGTTTTATTTTAGGTGTGATAATTCGTTTCTGTGCTGTGGTGTACAGCGAATTGCAAAGATTTCCAGGTTTTTTTTGTCTTACTTCTGTTATTTTTACTTTTTTTATATTGTAGATTTTAAGGAATTCAAATACTCGTGCCATCAGAAGTAATTGCAGCAGCCAGCTAGATGCGTTTGAAAGGGATCAGTAGAAATCGGACAAAAATGAAAACACGCCATTACCAGAGTTTCCAGCCCTTGTCACTTTTGAGCTGTGTGTGTCTTCACAGTTGGAGAAGTTATTTTGAAAAAGAGAGGACTTTAATCCAATGAGTGACCGAGAGAACTGTGGTCGTTTCAGAAATATTGATTTTAAAAATCTCTTATTTTCCGAGGAGAATATTTACTAAAAACTAAGAAGCGTTTGAATTCAGAACCACTTTTAACCCTTTAGAAGGAATACAGTAGGAAATGCATCGCTGCCTTAATGTTAATGTCTGTAGTAAGTCTTTAACTCCGACGGTAAAAACTGCACTGTTACGTAGGACTTCAGTCAAAACAGTAGACAGGAATCGCTCAGTGAACTCTTTACACTATCAGAGTAAATTTCTCTATTAGAAGAGCGGCTATTATTTATCGCCCAGAAAAAAAGGGGGGGCTGGGTCGGAGGATTTTAATTGTGTCACGATAAACCCAATTCCCCCGTTAGACTCTGTAGGATTCTAACGATTCCCCCTCGTTGATAGTCAATTTTCTCCAGGCCCCTTCTTACTCTGTCAGCGACGGTTGATTCCCCCTCCATTTCTCCTGAAAATCATGTGATATACCCAAAATCCCCCGACACCCCCCCCCCCTCCTGCTTCCTCCAGCGATAAATAATGGCTGTTCCAAGGCAATATCAACCAGAACAGGACTGGTCCGTGTTCTCTCGCAAGAAACTCCGCCACTAAAATGTTGTAATATATTGGCATAAAGGAAAAACAAATAATATTTAACTTCTTATACGAGAAAAGAATGTGCAGTATATATGAGGTCGTAGCTATGTGTAAATTTTGTCCATAGAATATGAACACTCCTCCCAGAAGAGGTCAAAGCTGTGCACTTGGTGCGTCCGCAAGTTGCTATAAATAAAAAGCTTAAAAAAAATCTTTGGTGATCTGCTCCACTTTGAAATTGCCTTCTAGCATTTTTCAGGCGTCCAGTTAGCAAAAGCAGAGCAAATATATTTAAGAACGGCACGAAAGAGGGAGCGGAACAAAAAATAAAGGCATCAAGTTTGGCTCGTTGGTCAAGTCGGGTTATTTACGCCACCTGACCGTTAACAGCCTAGCTGTCTCTCTGCGACGTAGTCCTCCATACAGCCGTAAATTGTTTTATACACAACTTGTTTCCCCAGGGGAGAGAGTATTGCAAAGGCAATAAACGCAAAGGACTGCGGCTAGTTTTGACGGTACCAATCAGGTCAAGGGTAATGTTAAAAAGATATGAGTATAAATTAGCACTGATGATATTCAGCGATTCTTCGGAGTGTTCCTCTCGTAGTTAGAACACAACCCTGATGTTTTGGCCCTCACAGACTATGACGTTATGTGAAGTAAGGTTGAAGCTCTGTATAATATACATCACCACGCCAAGAATGAATGAAAGCAAGAGTAAAAGTGAAAAAGGAAACCGTTTCTTAAAACCAAATGCTTGCGCAAATAGGAAATCCGCTCGTTTCCCATGGTCGAACGGGGTTGTTTTGGACAGCAACCTTTGCTGATCCTAGGCTTTGGTGTAAACTGGTGTGATATAATGACATGTCGATGCTTCCACTTGCACGCAGCGTCCAGTTAAGTAAAGAGTCGATTTTTCCCTGAGTAAACCCGTGGCACTCGAGTTTGAATGTGAACTCTATTGCGTAGCAGGCTCCTTAAATGAAAATTCGAATGTAGCATAGCGATGTGTGCACGCCAGTGAAAATGAAGGACACTGAACCTCCTTCCTTGCTTTGATTAGTATAGCGCGTTGCACGCGGGTAAAACTCGTCGCGAAGCTCCTGCATGGCCCATCTTAGGAAAAACAAGGGCATTTTATGACTGGGCTACCACAGGTATCTCAGTAACAAGCCTGTCTGAGGAAATACGAAAGGACACCGGACAAGAGATTTGATAAAGATCGATTAAAGAAGGTAGTGAGAAAAAAAAATTAAGGATGGAAGGAAGGATGCCAAATTCGCGGCTGTTTGTGCTCTTCCCATAATCCAATAGGAGACAAGTAATAAACAAACATGGCGGACATGTTGGGGATTTGGTCTGCAATTGATACCCTTTGCTACATTATTAATCGAGCTTACTTGAATGTGGAGCTGATAGAAGGGTATATACATGTACGTATAAGGAAGGAGTTTACGTTATGAAGGATTAAAGAGGCCCCACTAGGGGTTATCGGGATACGGAATATTTGGGTAAAAAATTATAAGGATACGGGATATTTGGGCGGAAAATTAAGGAGATACGGGAAATTATAAAAAGATTCTGGGATATCGATATTGAAGTTCTCATCTTTTAAAAGAGTAAAATAGGTTTATTTGTCGATATAGAAGGCACAAAGAGTGAAAAAATTATTTCAAATGCGATTTTTTACATTTTGCCATCAAATATTGTTAATATTGACATTAGGTTGACTGATACATTATATCAGTTCTCGTCCGAGAACAATTCTTCCCCTCCCCCATGGCTTTTTCCATTTTGCACCACTTTCTCGGTGACTCATTGCTTTGAAGTCACCTCAGTCCTTTAACAATTCTTCACAGAATGTTACATCAGAGCATACCATTGAGAAGCATGATGTCTTCTTTGCACGTAATTTCTATTTGAAATACGAAATGCCCCAGTAAAATGTGTTTTTTGTTATCAGGTACCCAAACATATTACGCTCAATGATGTCATCATGGTAACTGGCATAATAGAGATACAAACCATTGGAATTAACGGGATACGGGATATTTTGGCCAAAAATTTTAATGGGATACAGGATACTCAGATCCCCCTAATGGAGCCTTATTAAAAGAAAAAGGATTCAATCCTCGTAGAGCTCATTTCAACATTTCTTTTAGCTGAAACCGGAGCTGACTTGTGCCAGCTCCATGATGAAGAGGACATGATTTAGATTTAGGCAACCTTGGCTTGTGTGAATATCATTTAATTTGAAGCACTCTTTGCTGATTGATCCAATGCAAATCTTAGACCTGTGGAAGGAATTAGAATAGGCTTCTGTAAAATTATACATAAGGAGGTTAAATAACAAAGATTTGGAGCTACTATAGAATAGTGGATGTAGTATACTAGGACAGCGGTTGTTTATGTAAAAGTATACATCCGGGAAAGTGTGAGCGGGGGAAGATTATTAAAAAGAAACGTGTACTGTGTGTACTGTTGTTGTTCGCCTTCGTGGCTGCCTTTTGTGGCATACTTCTTCATTTTTAGACACTACAAATTGGCGACGAGGATGTCGAATTCAGTAGAAAGGGCGCTTCCGCCTCTAGATTTAACAGGGTCTTCCTCTCAGGTCGCGGAACGATGGCGACAGTGGAAACGATCGTATCAGTATTACATCGATGGCAAGGGAATTACGAATCCTTCTCGGAAAACAGCTCAGTTACTTCATTTAGCAGGTATGGAAGTACAAGATATTTACGAAGATACTCCAGATCCTGGACCACTGAATGCTAACGAGGATAATGAGTATGTGGTGTGTCTGCGAAAGTTGGATGCTCATTTTCGAGCCGAGGACAATGTACCGTACGAGCGTCATGTCTTTCGTCAACTTACGCCGACAAAGGGAGAGACCGCCGATAAGTTCATGGTTCGTTTACGTAAACAAGCTCGTCATTGTAATTTTGGTCCAACTTTGGAAGAAAATTTACGGGATCAATTGATTGAAAAGTTGCCTAATGTTGAGCTAAAGAAGAAGCTATTGGAAGTCGTTAATATTACTCTGCAAGCAGCAATGGAAGCCTCACACGAGCAGGCAAGTCAAATGGTCATGCCAAGCCAAGAACCTGGAGCAGGTACTCATGCAGTTGAAGAACGTCCTGGGCGTGGAGACAAAGGGAAAAGCGTTTGTTTCAACTGTGGTAAAGAAGGTCATTTTGCCCAAAGTACAAATTGTCCAGCCCGAGGTCGCAAGTGCAGCAAGTGTGGTAAATATGGTCATTATGCCAGCTGTTGCAAAGGGGGAAGGAACTCGAAGCCTGGAAAACAAGGTAACACCCAACAACGGGGAGGCAGACAGCAGCGTCATGGTAAGGGGAGACAGGGGAGACAGGCAAATCATGTTGAGGGTCATTGTAACGAGTCAGGTGAGGATGACAGTTTTGCTTTTACTATAGAAGAACAGACATGTGCTATGTCAAATTCCTCTGAACCCGTTATCTCAGTGAAGATTGGTGGAATCAGCAGAGATGTGTTGATTGATTCAGGTTCTGCAAGTAACCTCATTAGTAAAGATACACTGCAGGAACTTAAGTATCAGGGGCTCAAGATTGAATTAAAACCTTGTCTGAAGAGATTGTATGCTTATGGGGGTCGAGAGCTTAAAATTGAGGGCCAGTTTCAGACAGAAGTTTCCGTACCCAAAGCAAGGTTGTTGGCAGATTTCATTGTTGTTGAATCCGGGCGTTGTTTGCTGGGATATTCGTCCGCCACAGATCTTGGAATCCTTCGTGTGGATCTCTCGGGAACTCTTGGGACAGGAGACTGTAACACTGTTGATGGTACCTTCGTGGGAGGACTCAAAGCAAAATACCCCAGTGTATTCCAGGGAATTGGAAAGCTTAAAGATTATCAGTTGAAGCTACACATTGACCCCAGTGTAACTCCAGTCGTTCAAAAATGCGACGAGTACCTTTTTCTGTAAAGGACAAAGTAACTGCCAAGGTTAACGAACTCCTTGAAAAGGACATAATTGAGAAAGTCGAGGGGCCTACGGTGTGGGTAAGCCCAGTCGTTGTTGCTCCTAAACCGTCCGGGGACATAAGGTTGTGTGTCGACATGCGGAGAGCCAACGAGGCCATTATTCGGGAAAGATTGCCCATACCAACCATAGATGAAGTCCTTGAAAGTCTTAATGGGAGTGGTGTTTTCTCGAAGTTAGATTTAAGGTGGGGTTTTCACCAAATTGAGCTGGATCCTGATTCAAGGGATATCACTGCTTTTGCCACCCATGATGGTATATTCCGCTACAAACGTTTGAGTTTCGGTGTAAATGCCGCACCAGAGAAGTACCAGCATATCATCACCCAGTCAATGGCAGGTCTACAAGGGGTGTCAAACATGGCAGATGATCTTATCGTTCATGGTCGAGACACTGAAGAACATGATAAGAACTTACACAGTGTGTTGCAACGTCTTAGTGAGAAGCAGCTGACTTTGAATGCTGAAAAATACACTTTCCGAATGACTAAAGTGGTATTCATTGGTCTTTTGCTGAGTAAGCATGGCATCGGCCCAACGGAGGAAAAAGTCAGAGCAGTTGCAGAGGCAAGTCAGCCTCAGACACCCTCAGAAGTCCGTAGCTTCTTGGGGCTCGTTGGATTCAGTGCCAGGTTTATACCCGATTTTTCTACCACTGCTGATCCCCTCAGAAAACTTGCAAGAAAAGGGGAACCGTTCGTTTGGGGCAAGGAGCAGGAGCAGTCGTTTCAGAGATTGAAGAGTCAAGTTGCAAGTGCACCAGTCCTAGCTTACTTCGATAAGGACACACCCACCCGTGTTATTGCTGATGCAAGTCCTGTTGGACTTGGCGCCGTGCTGGTGCAAGAAAAGAATGGGGAAAGCCGTGCCATCTGTTATGCTAGTCGTAGTTTAAGTCAAGTGGAGCGTCGTTATAGTCAGACAGAAAAGGAAGCACTAGCCTTAGTCTGGGCTTGTGAACGCTTCCACCTCTACTTGTACGGGCTTCCACAGTTTGATCTGGTGACAGACCATGAAGCACTTAAAGTCATCTATTCCAGGAAGTCTAAACCTTCAGCCAGAATAGAGCGCTGGGTTCTGCGTTTACAACCGTACAACTATCAAGTTTGCTATGTGCCTTCAAGAAAAAACATCGCAGATGCCCTTTCCCGACTGACGAAGATACCGG